GGTCAGTCCAGTCCAGATACATTTCGGGTATTGTGTAGTGGAGCGAGGCCCTCAGTCCGTTGGATTGATTTTCTGACCATGAAATAGAAGGCGCGCCCGACATGAGAAGGCGGTGCTTTACCTAAAAAAAAAGAAAAGAAAAGAAAAAAAAGGAAGGCGGTGCTGGGAGGGAGGAACGAGAGGAGGGGAACAGAGTGTTCATTTCTCTTCTTTTTCTTTTTTTATTATACAAACAATCAGGGCTACCAGCCGGGCCGCCCGGGTCCCGGGTGGCCAGCCCGTGCAAAGACCAAGGACGGTCCCAACAAAAAAAAAAAGGGAATCCAAAAAATCCGAAAAAAAACTATGTTATGCAGAAAAATAAACTGAACAACTTTTGCCTGAGGGTCACATCGAAATTCTTTACCAAATTTCAATTTATTTATTTACTTATTTTTTTTGGCCCGGCCGGGCGAGTGACCCCGGGCCACTCTGGTAGCCTAGCAAACAATACAATAAATTTGGACCATTTGTCGCTTTATGCGTCTCATCCTTGCACAGGGCCACGCTAATCCTCTTTTCTTTCTCTTTTTTTTTTCCCATGCTAATCTCCTTTTCGTTTTTTTTTTCCCATTTCATTTAGTTCCATCTCAATTCCAACTCAGGTATGCATTTCATTAGTTCATGGGCGTACCAACAACTAGGCCCGATCCCGAAAAGATTAGCATCTGGATTCTAATTCACGGAACGATACAGAGTAGATTAGCATGACCAACTAGGCTTGCTACCAACTAGGCTAGGCCCGTTGGTCATGCTAATCTTCTCTGTGTCGTTCCCAAGGACCTTTCCTCTTTCCAGCAGGTGTTGCTCCCCACCAATAGATGGAGCGGCCCGCCAGGCAAAGCCTCAATCCCGGTGGTTCTAATACCACCACCAGGATAGAGGCCTTGCACAAGGGCTTTTAAAAAAAAAAAAAAGGACCTTTCCTCTTTCCTGTAATGACTGTCTTCGATTTTTTTAATTACAAAAACCGTAAAAACGTATGGTTAGCCATTGAACATTAGGCCTTCGGAAAACTCAGGAAACAAAAAAAAAGGCAGAAAAATTATCCCCCTCCAGAAAACTGGCTTCCAGAAAACTGGCTTCCAGAAAAATTACCCTCCAGCCCATCAAGGGCACAAATTAAGAAGTGCAGCAAATTCGAAGTAATAAGCTGAGAGCGGAAAGAGAAAAGCGAGCAAAAGAAAGAGAGAGAGAGAGAGAGAGAGAGAGAGAAAATGAGAGAGAGAGAGAGAGAGAGAGAGAGAGAATAGTTCGCGCTTGAGGCAGGACTGCAAAAAAGAAAATGCAGCGAGTTTCGTAAAGTCTGAGAGGGCCGAGGCGACTGCATTTCGTACAGTGAAAGCGACCAAAAGAAGTTGAGTGAAGTATGGAAGGCCTTCTGCATTTGCACAATGAAGGCAGCTAGATGCTGAACATGAATCCGGTCGGCCTTCACCATACAGATACAAAGGGCCGTGCATTTTCCTGGGATTACGAAACTCAATAATCACTCTTTAAGTCTGTTTAAGAGCAATTTAACAGCACACTTATAAATTAAAACAATATAAAACCGACGCCTGGGTAGGCTGTAGAAAGCGACAAGTGGGGGCAAACCAGCAAATTGTCCCATAAACAGCAAGAGAGAAATGCACAGATAGAGGAATATACACACTTCACAGCATTTATTTATTTATGTAAATTATTTATTTATTTATTTATTTATTTATTTATTCACAGCATTTATAAATTTATATACACACTGCATAGCATTTAGTCTTTGCTAATCACACATCCACACCACGAGATAGACTAGGGCATTTTTCTGTCAAGCTCTGGACGTGATTGCGGCCAGATTCACGCAGTTCTGGCAGTAATTGCAGTCAAATACATGTAGAAAAGTGCTCGTATGAGTATGCCCTAGTAGGGCACAACCTCCCGGTTTGACCGCACTGGGTGGTACTTACTCTTTGCTACGAAGGTGGTTTAGCCTGACCGTAGCCCAAACCCTGGTTTCTATCTTGGAGAGCGCCCGTCCTTAAAAATAACATGGTGGAATCTCTCTCTCTCTCTCTCTCTCTCTCTCTCTCTCTCTCTCTAACACACACACACACACACACACACACACACACACGCACGCGGGCGCGCGCGCGCGCTCGACCAGTTGTTCAACATATCTTCGCCGCGATCGGTCGGATTTTCGTCCTGGTCCGTAAACCTCTCTCTCTCTCTCTCTCTCTCTCTCTCTCTCTCTCTCTCTCTCTCTCTCTCTCTCTCTCTCTCTCTCTNCTCTCTCTCTCTCTCTCTCTCTCTCTCTCTCTCTCTCTCTCTCTCTCTCTCTCTCTCTCTCTCTCTCTCTCTCTCTCTCTCTCTCACGCACACACGCATTCTTCTGTCTGACACTCGGCCGAGCTTGGCTGTTCACAGAAGATGTGTCTGTGAGTTACTACTGCTGGGGAAGAACAATGCACGCTGGAAGATCGCAAACGGAGAAGGGGATAAATTGAATCACCCAGCAAATCTAGACCAGAAAAGACGGAAGAGGATTAGTTCAAGGCGCACGCACCACCGAGTAAGAGGACTAGTGCTGTGTCTGCTGTGCCAAACAGAGAAATGGTCATTGAAGGGAATCGGCGGTTTTCATATCCAGTTCAGTGAGTCTGTCATCTCGAAATCCAAGCGGCTGTCTCTGATAACCTGAGATCAAGAGCGCGGGAGAAATGCATTGGAATGCCTTCCTCCTGAGCGGAAGGGAAAGAGCGAGGAGAGAGGAGAGAGGATGAAAGAGAGAGGAGAGAGGAGAGAGGGCGAAAGAGAGAGGAGAGAGGGGAGAGGGCGAAAGAGAAAGAAAAGAGTAGCAGAAGAAGAACGAAAAAGAACAAAGAATATAAGAAAGAGGGAAATGAGAGGCAAACAAGAAGAGAGAATGGATGTAGCATTCTCCTAACGAGTGAGAATGGAAGTAGCATTCTCCTAACAAGAAGAGAGAATGGAAGTAGCATTCTCCTAAGAGCGAGAGAAGAGAGGAGAGCGAGAGAAGAGAGGAGACCTAGAGAAGAGAGGAGAGCGAGATAAAGAACGATACAGCAGAGGATCAAGAGTCTCTCCACCCCTCTCTCTACCTTGTACGCAGCACACAGGACGGACCCCACCTACCGTCCTCCCACGAAATGAAAGCACGGTCATTATAGCTGTATTCGGGACAACTTTCAGTCGAGATACAGGGGGATAATGACAGTGCGTTCCATTCGGGGCGAAGACGGCAGAGGCTCAAGCACAAGGAAGGCCGCTCACCCAGTCGCTCATCTGCATCCACTTGCGCAGACAGGAGCATGACTACCGAAACCAGCGACTAACGGCTCTGCGCGCACGCGTGCGCGCACATGCGCGCAGGCATAGATATTCCCCGCGATGAATACAACAGTCAAAGAGCTCACCGAAAACGAGGTACCGAAACAGAACCATCTCTCTCTCTCTCTCTCTCTCTCTCTCTCTCTCTCTCTCTCTCTCTCTCTCTCTCTCTATCTATCTATCTATCTATCTATCTATCTATCTATCTATCTATTTATCCATCTATCTCGCTCGCTCGCTCGCGAGCGAGCGAGCGACCAGGCGACCGAGCGCACACACGCTCGTTCGCGCAATCTGATTAACTGCAAGTGTGGGTGTGGTGATACTTCTGAAGGGAGGGGGCATTAATGCGTCATTATTAAGGACAGCAGGATATCTGGTGATGTCAACAGAATCCACAGGTCGACTTTACGGATTCAATGACGATGGAACCGACAGGCGGACGCCAGCCAACACGCAGGCGCACACAGCGAAACACAAAAATATAATTGAAGGAGGACAGACGGAGAGAGAGAACGAGTGTCGTGCGTTAAAACCACAAGCACACGTGCGAAAAGATGAGAGACAAGAAGACGGCAGAGGCACAAACTCAGATCTGGACAGAGAAACACAGGTTGGGAGACGAGAAAAACAGACCCTGGTCAGACCAGGCATTCCAAGGAAAGGCGAACGGTCGACAGAGAGAGAGAGAGAGAGAGAGAGAGAGAGAAAGAGAGAAAGAGAGAGAGAGAGAGAGATGGGGATGGGGACAGATAAAGCCACCTCAGGACCGATCGCCAGCAAGGAGAACTCATCGACCAGTTGTAGACGCGAAAACCAATCCCCGCCGTTGTCTTATGTGTGCGGGTGTGGATGTGGGTGAGGATGTGGGTGAGGATATGGGTGAGGATGTGGATGTGCGCGTTTACGTGTGGAGGTGTGGGTGTGGGTGTCGTGTGGAGGTGGAGGTGGGTTTGGGTGTGGGTGTTGTCATAGGGACCGAATGAGAGATGCAAAGAAAGAGGAGGCAGTCAATCAATCATCAATGGGGAAGCCTGTGCGATACAAAGCGCAACAGACAGAGAGGAGAGAAGAGAGACTGAACAGAGACCGAAGAGAGAGAAAAGAGAGAATAGAGAGATGGAAAGAAGAACAATGCAGAGAGAAAAGTCGGCCGCAACCGTAGATTGATTACAAGTCATTGGGATAAAGAAGGAAAACAGATGTAGTGAGAGAGAGAGAGAGAGAAAGAGAGAGAGAAAGAGAGAGAGAAGAACGGGTGAGGATGACAACGGAAGGGGGGCGAGAAAGGGGCGAAAGAAGGACAATGGGCGGAGGGAGGATGGAAAGGAGGGCTCAGGGAAGGAGGCGGCGGGGGGCGGGGGCCAGGGGCCGGGGGTCGCGGAGCCAGCAGGCGGGAGGAGGGATGGGGAGAAGGATGGGGAACGGGGAAAGCGGTGGGAGGGGGGGAAAGGAGTTAAACGATTCCCTCGACGAGGCCAGCGTGATGAATCAACAAAGGCGGCTGTTCTGATCACGTGTGCGTTTGCATAAGAGAGAGAGAGAGAGAGAGAGAGAGAGAGAGAGAGAGAGAGAACATGCGAGCGAAGAAGAAGAGGAGCAATTGGGTAAGGCGAGAGCAGTCCGCTGACCTTGAGTAGACGGAAGACCTTGCGCGCCAAGCTGGTGCTCTTGTCCACATTCTGAGCTGTCCCTGCTTTTCCCTGGCTAATGAACTTAGACCCGTACTGGATTGCTCGACATATCTTATCGCGTGTCTCTGCCTTTCCCAAGTAAAGAACAAGCAACGCGACATGGAGGCGTGTCTTGTCGAGAGCCGTCGTGGTGCTAACTGCTTCAGACATGACTGCCACAGAAGCGATGATGACGACGAGGATAACCGATGATGGCCAGGCAGAGTACTGCTCCTGGACGTGTCAACACCCGCGAGACAGAAGTGGGATGACACAGGAGAGAGAGCAAGACCGACAGAGGAGGAGGAGGAGGGAGGCGAGTAGAGACGGCAAGGGAAAGAGGTTTGGAAAAACGCGGAGGAAGAAGCACCAGAAGGCGCAGCGATGAAGATAGCCGCGCGAAAGGGACGGAGAGGAACTGTATAGAACACGAGCGCGGAGAAGAGACAATACGAAAGGGGGAATATGGGATCTTGTGCGCGCGAGGGAGGGAGAAACAACGGGGAGAGAGTGAACGAAGGTAAGGGATCGCGCAAATGGTGGAGAGAGAGATGGCCAAGAACAGCAAGACGATTTCTGAACAAGCGTGCCACGCTACTCGCAGCGAAAAGCACGGGAGCGAGCGAGCGAGAGAGAGAGAGAGAGAGAGTGTGTGTGTGTGTGTGTGTGTGAGAGAGAGAGGGAGTGTGTGTGTGTGTGTGTGTGTGTGTGTGTG